AAAAAAAAAAAAAAAAAAAAAAAAAAAAAAAAGCATTCCTTTGCAGGTGTTCCCAGGACCTCAGAGACCAGGCTTAGAGCCTGACACCCCTGGGAGGGGACAGCCTGATCCGCCCAGGCCAGTGGGGCCTCCACAGATGCACCGCCAGAGACTGGCCCTGGGTCTGGGGATCTGCCTGTTGGGGGGCACAAGCCTCAGTGTCCTGTGGTGAGTCTGCCCCACGGAGCTCTCCCTGTCTCTGTCCCCACCCAGGACTCCCCCTGTCTCTGAAGGTCGACCCCCAAATCTTGATTTCTTCATAGGATTCCAGGTCCACCAACCCCTCCTGGCTCACCTGTTTCCTAACCCCAACCCCAGCAGGACCCAACTAGTGTCGCTTGCTTCTGTATTCTGCCTTGTACTGGCCTCCTGGCCTTTGACTTGCTCTTTTCTCTGCCTGGACCATCCATCAGCCCATGTTGATAGGGAATCCCTGTTTTGCTCCCAAATTCACCCTCTGTGTCTGTCCTTCCACAAAGCTCGTGGGGCTGCCCCTCACCCTGCTGCTTGTGTGTGGGGCCTGACATCAAGAATATGCACTCCCTAGGAATGAATGCCTGCCTGCCAGGCCCTGTGACACATGCCAGAAATACCAGGAGGCTTTGTCCTTTGAAGTCAGCCAGACCTACAGAATCACAGGGGACCTGCCTTCCTAATGCACCGTGGGAGACGTTCACTCCCAATGATGTGCATAAGGTGTGTTTTCAGCCTCTGGAGCAGAGTGGGTCAACAGATTTTTTTTCTTCCCAGGGTGTATGTTGAAAACTGGCTACCGGTCTCCTATGTCCCCTATTATCTCCCCTGCCTAGAGATCTTGTAAGTGTGGGTGGGGCTAGGAAAACTGGGAGCCCTGTGGGCTGCTCACAGTTGGGGAGACAGGAGAGTATTTAAGTTCATTTCATCTGCCGCTTCCTGGTTCATATTTCTGAGAAATGCAACAGTATTTAGGTAATTTAAGGGCTGTGACAAACATGAAGTGAAATTCCCGTTTCAGTCTTCAGCATCCTTGCAGCCCCCTGCATGGTCTGATCTTCTACGTGTTGCACAGCTCTGAGCCTCACTTGCTGTGTCTGTAAAATGGGATGGTAGCAGCCCCTCCCTGGCCCCTGGGAACATGGTGTGCAGTGATGCCCGTAAATAGCCTGCTGCTGCTCCCAGGGAACAGCGGGTGCGCGAGGCTTTTAGGGCTTCACCTTGTTGCTCACTTTTGTGTTCTGTGGGTTCAAGGAACAAATGAACATGTGACCAAAGTCCTTCTCACCTGAGGAGTCTGACTTTTTTTTTTTTAAAGTCTCACTCTATCATCCTGGCTGCAGTGCAGTGGCACGATCTCGACTTACTGCAGCCCCGCCTCCCTCCTTCTCCTGTCTCAGCCTCTGAGTAGCTGGGATTACACACCACACCTGGCTAATTTTTGTATCTTCACTTGAGACAGCGTTTCACCATGTTGGCCAGGCCAGTCTCAAATTCCTGACCTCGTGATCCGCCTGCCTTGGCCTCCCAGGGTGCTGGAATTATAGGCATGAGCCTATAATTGAGTCTGACTTTTTAACAGTTAAGACTGAAAAAATGGGTTGGGACAATGTCAGAGGAGCATCTGGACCCATGGTTTTTTGCTTTTCATGACAACTCAAGGAAAGGTAAACATCTGAATCACAGGCCACTAATTAACAGCAAGGAATATTTTATATTGTAAACATAGAATATAGTAAATTAGGAAGCCAGGAAGGAGAAAAGACAAAAGAGAAAGAAAACCCTTTCAGGTTCACCTGTCCAAAACTACCCTCCACTTCCAAAGTCCGTTGTTTGCTTTGCCTGTTTGCTCTGCTTTCTAATTGAACAGATTAGGCATTTACATGGTTCTAAATGCCAAATGGCTTCTTGCTATTGGTAACAGTTGTGATCATACTGTTTTTGCAGTTTCTGTCCTGTTTTCCCAGAATGAACTTTGTTTTTCAATGTATGTCCCATCATCTTTTTTAAAAAATGAGATAAGTTCTCACTGTGTTGCCCAGTCTGGTCTCAGACTCCTGGGCTCAAGTGATCCTCCTGCCTCAGCCTCCCAAAGCACTGAGATCACAGACGTGAGCTACCACATCTGTGCGGTCACCATCATCTTATTCCACCCAGGGGCTGGCACATAATTTTTGAGCCCCTCTCCCTTTCCCACCACCAATTGTTGGGCATTTAGGTGGCTCTCAACCTCCCAGAGCTCTAAGTTAGTTTGTGATGAGCAGCATAACCCTTTGTCCATTTCAAAGATCATTTTGTTCCCATATGGTAGATTCTGAGCCATCTCAGGTTGTTTCCAGATGGACCACAGCACATCCGTCACTCATGGATGTGCCCTGCCTGAGCAGCCCAGCAAGGCCACCCTGAATTACACCTGGGCTACTGCTGGGAATACCAGGAGTTACGAAAACAAAAAGGAACCTAACTTGCCGGCTGAGAGAGGGAAATTGCTATCCTCTTTGGCATAAATTTCATTTATTTATTATTATATTGAGACAGAGTCTCGCTCTGCTGCCCAGGCTGGAGTGCAGTGGCGCAATCTTAGCTCACTGCAACCTCTGCCTCCCGGGTTCAAGCGATTAGCATGCCTCAGCCACCTGAATAGCTGGGATTACAGGTGCACCAGCTAATTCTTGTGTTTTTAGTAGAAACAGGGTTTCATCATGTTGGGCAGGCTGGTCTGAAACTCCTGACCTCAAGTGCTTCACCCGCCTTGGCCTCCCAAAGTGCTGGGATCACAGGCGTGAACCACCACCCCCGGCCTTAATTTTTTTTTTTTTAATTCCCTATGCCTTCCCATTAATTGAATGTTTTCTTCTGTGCAGTGCTTCCTCCACACCTCCTCTGTTTGGTGCGTTTGTGGGTTCTTTATCATCACCCTTGGCTGAGTATAGCTACAACTTTTTTTCTTTCCAGTTTGTCTATCTTGTGTGGTGTGTGTGTGTGTGTGTGTGTGTGTGTGTGTGTGTTGGGGCTGGGGGTATAAAGTCTAGCTCTGTCACCCAGGCTGGAGTGCAGTGGCACCGTCACAGCTCACTACAGCCTTGACCCCCTGGGGTCAGTGATCCTCACACCTCAGCCTCCTGAGCAGCTGGGACCACAGGTATGCACCACCACACCTCCTAGATAATTTTTTTTATTTTGTTTGTAGAGATAGGGTCTCACTATGTTGCCCAGGCTGGTCTGGAACTCCTGGCCTCAAGGAATCCTCCCAACTCGCCTTTGCCGGGATTGCAGGCATGAGCCACCACACCAGCCTGCTTTTGTATTCTTGTGTGTAACTCTTCACTGCAGCTGGAGTGTGTCTGAGCTTGTGGAGAGGAGAGAGGTGCTCACTGCCAGGGAAGTGCAGAAGGCCGGGCTGTTTGGTGCCTCTCCTAACTCCTGACCCCTTTTTGGAACCCCATGGCTTTCTGAGCAGGGCTCTGAAATATGCTTGCTTGTAGGAAACAAGGGCAGAGGGCAGATTTGATGAATTGACTTAAAAAAAATTTGTTGATTCAAGAGTAGCAACTTGGCTGGGTGTGATGGCTTATGCCTGTAATCCCAGCACTTTGAGAGGCCAAGGCTGGTGACTCACTTGAGGTCAGGAGTTTGAGACCAGCCTGGCCAACATGATGAATTCTCATCTCTAATAAAAATACAAAAATTATCAGGGTGTGGTGACGGGCACCTGTAATCCCAGCTACTTGGGAGGCTGAGGCAGGAGAATTACTTGAACTCAGGAGGGAGAGGTTTCAGTGAGCCGAGATTGTGCCACTGCACGCCAGCCAGGGTGACAGAGTTACTGAGACTCCATCTCAAAAAATAAAATAAGTAAGAGTAGCTACTAATCACAAAAGGACAGAAACTTTGATTCCTCTTATGGGAAGTACCTTCCATAGTCAAGTTCACAGAGGCAGAGGTAGGATAATGGTTCCCAGGGGCTGGGGGAGGGGCAATGGCACACTGTTCTTTCATGAGGACCAGGCTTCCTTTTGGGATGATGAGAAAGTTCTGGACACAAATGTTGGTGATGGTTACATGACAATGTGAATGTACTTACTGCCATTGAAATGTACACTTAAAAATGGCTCAAGTAGTAAATCTTGTGTTTTGCACACTTTACCACAAACAAACGAGCATAGCCAGAGGTGGAAGAGTTCAAGGAGGCTTCAGTCACTCCATCATACATGACGTATTGGAACTCACAAAGGGCCAGGCAAGGTGGCTCATGCCTGTAATCCCAGCACTTTGGAGGCCGAGGCAGGCAGATCACTTGAGCTCAGGGGTTCAAGACCAGCCTGGGCAACATGGTAAAACCCCGTCTCTACCAAAAATATTAATACAGAAACATCCGGGTGTGGTGGTGTGCACCTGTGGTCCCAGCTCCTCGGGGGGCTGGAGTGGGAGGATTGCTTGAGCTCAGGTGGTCAAGGCTGTGGTTAGCCAAGATTGTGCCACTGCACTCCAGCCTGGGCGACACAGAGAGACCCCATCTCAAAAAAAAAAAAAGAAAGAAAGAAAAGAAACTTGCAAGGGCCTGGCAGACTGTGTCATCAGTGGGTGGGTCCTTACGAGCTTCTGCCTGGGGACAGTCGGCCTCAGGTCTTTTCTTGCTGCTGCTGGCTGCACGGCCTTTCCCTTCTTTTTTTGTTTTTGCTTTTTGAGACAGAGTCTTGCTCTGTGGCCAGGCTGGAGTGCAGTGGTGTGATCTTGGCTCACTGCAACCTCCACGTCCTGGCTGCAAGTGATTCTCCTGCCTCAGCCTTCTGAGTAGCTGGGATTATAGGCATGCACCACCATGTCCAGCTAATTTTTGTATTTTTAGTAGAAACGCAGTTTCACCATGTTAGCCAGGATGGTTTCAATCTCTTGACCTCAGGTGATCCACCCACCTTGGCCTCCCAAAGTGCTGAGATTACAGGCGTGAGCCACGAGCCCGGCCGGCCTTTCCCTTCTCTGTTCCTGGCTCCCACCTGCTCCCACATTCGAAGTGGATGGCTTTATTGTCCCCATTTTATGGACAAGGAAACTAAAGCTCGAAGGTCAAATGTCTGGCTCCAGGTCCCTGGTCTAGTTGGTGGCAGAGCCAGAGGTGAGCCCAGGGGTCTGACCCTGCAGCCCCGCCGGCTCCATAGACCCCCTTCCTTCTTCACAGTTTGACCTTGACACTGACCTCACGGGCTGCCTGCCAAGACTTGGCCAGGATGCCTCGCCTTACTGAGCACTTGCTCCATGCTCCTCTCCTCCTCCTCCTCCTTCTTTTTCTTCTTCCTCTTCTTCTTCTTCTTCCTTCTTTCTTCCTTCTTCTTTCTTTCTTCTTCTTCCTTTTTTTTTTTTTGAGACAGGGTCTCACTTTGTGGGGGGCCCAGGCTGGAGCACAGTGGTGTGATTACAGCTCACTACAGCCTCGACCTCCTGGGCTCAAACCATCCTCCTGCCTCAGCCTCCCAAGTAGCCAAGACCACAGGTGCACACCACCACGTCCAGCTAATTTTTGTTGTTTTTGTAGAGACAAGGTCTTGCCTTGTTGCTCAGGCCGGTCTTGAACTCCTGGGCTCAAGTGCTTCCTTGAACTCCTTGGCCTCCCAAAGTGCTAGGACTACAGCTGTGAGCCACCCGGGCTGGCCACCAGTTCTGTTCTTAAGGGCTTTCAACCAATTGGGTCGGTCCCACCCAGGTGGTCTAGGATATTCTCTTTTACAAAAAAGCAACTGATACAGGATGTTATCACATCTACAAAATACTTTCACAGACCAGCCTGGGCAACATAGCGAGACCCCATCTTTACAAAAAAATTTTAAAATCGCCGGGTGTGGTGGCTCACGCCTGTAATCCAAGCACTTTGGAGGCCAAGGCGGGCGGATTGCCTGAGGTCGGGAGTTCAAGACCAGCCTGACCAACATGGTGAAATCCCGCTTTTTAAAATAAAAAAAAAAAAAATTAAAAATCAGCCATGGGTGCTAATGAGTGCCTGGCAGGTCCAGCCACTCAGGAGGCTAAGGCAGGAAGACTGCTTGAACCCAGGAGGTCGAGGCTGCAGTGAGCTATGATTGCCCCACTGCAATCCAGCCTGGGCAACAGAGGAGACCCTGTCTCTTAAAAAAAGTTTCACGCAACACTTTGACTTGTTTGAGAAACCAGATACTACAGCCTAACCAAGTCAGCACACACCATTATAGTGGGCTCAGGCGAATCGGCTCACCCCTGGTCCCAGTCACCAGCCCTTTGCAGCTTTACAAACCTCTCCGACAACGAGAGCGACATGGTCGGGAAAGCATCAGCCTTGGTACCAAGCGGCACTGGGTCCGAATCACTGCCCAGTCACTTACTCTCTCAATGACCTACAGATTGCTTCTGTAGGGGTCCCCAGCTCCTCTGTAGAGTCAGGTGGGGCTGTGGGGGAAGGTCAGAGGGAGCCTACATGGACCCTGGGTGCCCAGCCGAGGGGACTTCTGACTCCTCCTTCTTCCTTTGCTGAGTGTCTCTGTCCCCAGCCCCATGACGATGGCTCTTTCTTGCCTCTGCCACCAGCAACACGAAGCTGCACTGCGAGAGGGAGAAGCCACTCCAGCCCATGGCATGGTAAGGAGACTGGCATTGCCCCTTCTGTGTCCCTGAGGGTGTTGGCTCCCCCCTACCACTGGTCCTTCTTGGTTGCAGGTCACAATACCCCCAGCCCTAGCTGCTGGAGCGCAGGTAGGCGTCATGGAGAGGCCTAACACGGCAGGGGGAGGGGCCAAAAGAGCTCTGATTTATAAGTTAGGGTGGTGGAGGTGCCAACGTCAGGGTGACCTTGGGGCCCACAGAGTTAGGGACTGTGGAAAGACACAGGGCTGGGGGTCAGGGACCTGGGCTGTGTGACCTTGGGCAGGATACCCAACTGCCCTGAGCTTTTTCTGTGCAGGTACATAATAGTACCTAGCTCACTGGAGGCTGGAGGAGCAGAGGACAGTTGTAACATGTACACCGTGCTTGCATTCAGTAGGTGCTCAGGCTGTTGTTCATGACGATGTTGTCTTGCCCTTATTAATGACCCTCATTTATTAGGGGCTTGGCACACATGGAAAATGCCATTCTCCTACTCAGTGTGTGTTAACTCCTGGTCCCCCCAACCCTGCTGGGAGGTGGCTATCATCCCCACTTTCCATATGAGGAAAGGGAGGCCCAGAGACTGGGATGAAGTGGCCCCAGGTCACACAGTGTGAGAGCCACGGGGGGGATGAGATCTAGGCTTTCACAGGGGAGGGTCTCAGTGCCCACGGTCCCCCTGCTGCCAGGCCCACACAGCTGCTGACACGAACACCCTGGCTGGCGCCCGTCGTCTCTGAGGGAACCTTCAACCCAGAGCTTCCACAGCACGCCTACCAGCCGCCGAAACTGACCATCGGGGTCACAGTGTTTGCCGTGGGGAAGTGAGTAGCGGGCGGGGGAAGGGGAGGAAGGCTCCCTGAGCCACAGGAGCTCACAGTCCAGGGAGGGGACCAGATGTGCACACAGGACCCTGCTGGGCACCCGGGGGGCTTGGAACCAGGTGCCGAGCAGACAGAAAGTGCAGAGTGGGGTGCGATGGGGCTTCCCAGGGTAGGGGGTCTGGCCCCAGCATAGACGGGAGGTGGAGTCCAGGTGAGGGGACAGCAGGAGCCTTTGTCAGGAGGACCCCTTGCCCCTCCCTGCTTCATCTGGGCCCCTTCTCTGCCCTGGTCTCTCCCCTGACCCCACCTGGCCTTCCTTTAGGAGCGGCCACTTGGCAGCCCTGCGCTGGACCTTGGGGACTCCTTCCTGGGACTCCTGAGAGAGGGACCATGATGGGCCCCCAAGCCCTAAAGCATGGCCAGATGATGAATGGCCCACTAGGGCAGGTGACCCCCTTGTCCAGTGAGTTTTGGCCTGGGGGCGGGGCTGCGTCAACCACACCCCACTCCAAGCCCCCAGCGTCCAGCACAACTCGCCTTCCCTTGATTCCTCCACTCACCTGCTTCTTGTCTGCTTTCTCCTCTGTGATCTCAGTGTTCCTGCCTATAAAACAGGCAAGCCTTAAGGTAGCTTATGAAGATCAAAGATCATAAGAATTCTTAGGATGTTTCTGGGCACCTAGAAATTGCTCAATAAAAGTTCGCCTGGTCCAGGAGCATAAGAATTTCTGCCAGGGACATGCTTACAACAGCTATAAGAGGCTGGTACTAGCATCTTGGGAATTGGACAAATGAGAACCCAGAGGCTCAGAGCAGAGTGGCATCTTGAGATGGGGAGCTGGGAAGTGGCCCCCAGACTGACTGACCCCAGCATACAGTGGGGACCCAGGCAGGCTGCTGGGGTAGCGGTGGATGACTGGGTTATCATCGCTAGGTACACTCACTTCGTCCAGTCCTTCCTGGAGTCAGCCGAGGAGCTCTTCATGCGTGGGTACTGGGTGCACTACTACATCTTCACTGACAATCCCGCAGCCATTCCCCGAGTCCCACTGGGTGCCCACCGGCTTCTCGGCACCATCCCCATCCAGGGCCACTCCCACTGGGAGGAGATTTCCATGCGCCGGATGGAGACCATCAGCCAGCACATTGCCAAGAGGGCTTACCGGGAGGTGGACTACCTCTTCTGCCTTGATGTGGACATGGTGTTCCGGAACCCATGGGGCCCTGAGACCTTGGGAGACCTGGTGGCTGCCATTCACCCCGGCTACTACGCCGTACTCTGCCAGCAGTTCCCCTACCAGCGCAGGCGTGTTTCCGCTGCCTTTGGGGCAGACAGCGAAGGGGACTTCTATTATAGTGGGGCAGTCTCCGGGGGGCAGGTGGCCAGGGTATATGAGTTTACCGGGAGCTGCCACATGGCCATCCTGGCGGACAAGGCCAATGGCATCATGGCAGCCTGGCAGGAGGAAAGCCACCTGAACCATCACTTCATCACAAACAAGCCGTCCAAGGTCCTGTCCCCCGAGTACCTCTGGGACGACAGGAAGCCCCAGCCACCCAGCCTGAAGCTGATCTGCTTTTCTACACTAGACAAGGATATCAGCTGCCTGAGGAGCTGACCGCAGAGCTGGGGCTGCCATGGATAGAGACCCAAAGCCCTGCAGCCACCAGTGCTCCACTCACGTGCAGACCAGCCCCTGTCCCGCCTACCTCTGTCAGTCAGGCGAATTCTGCCGGACAATGGACGTGAAAAGGCCACTGTGAACTGCAGAGGACTGTGCACACAGTAGAACACAAGATCACACTAGTGTGGCAGAAGAGCAATGGGGGCGGGGAGGGGAGGTGCAGTTACAAAGCAAGCCTGAAAAGCTGGTTGCGTTCTGCAGCTGTGCCTTTGCAGGGCAGGCTGTGAAGCCTCAGCCTGACTCAGAGTGCCTGAACCCCACTGCGCCAGCCCCCCATTTATTGCATATTGCCCTTAACATTGCATTTCTAATACCCTAGGGTGAAGGCGCCCTAGACCCCTTTTCTCTGGTCACAGGGGTCCTGGGTCCCTTGATGTCCCATAGCCACATGTAGCCAATTCTTCACTCAGGCCCCCAGAGCAAGCCTTTGAAATGGAGTGAGTCTAGGCTCCCTCTGGTTTCCTGTACCCCCAGGTGAACTGCACTCTCAGGGACTAGCCACCTCCTTCTTAAGAGGGTTTGGGGCAGTTTATAATAAAGGTGGTGTGTGTTCGACCCTAGCTAGGGTGGTTTTATTTTTTAATTTTTTTTTGAGACTGAGTTTCGCTCTGGTCACCCAGGCTGGAATCGCAGTGGCGCGATCTCAGCTTACTGCAACCTCCGCCTCCCGGGTTCAAGCGATTCTCCTGCCTCAGCCTCCTGAGTAGTTGGGATTACAGGTGCCCACCACGCCCAGCTAATTTTTGTATTTTAAGTAGAGACAGGGTTTCACCATGTTGGTCAGGCTGGTCTCAAACTCCTTACCTCAAGTGATCCACCCTCCTCAGCCTCCCAAAGTGCTGGGATTACAGGCTGGGAGCTGGGGACCCAAGGTAACAGCAGACTCTGAGGCCTGGGCAGCTCTGCCTAGCAGGGGAGAAACTCCCTCACCACCCCCCTCACCCCACTTGCACCCAGCTTTATCCCTGGCACACCCTCCCAGGGTGGGAGTCACTGGCCCATTTTCAGCAGAGGAAACAGACTCTGAGAGGTCACCATGAGTTTACCTGTGATGTGGCCCAGCTGTGGGTTTGAACCCAGGTCATCTGGTTTCAAGGCTGTGCCTGCACAGGGGCGGGAGGAGTGCGGCTCTGAAGGTGAGTGCATTGTGCAGGAGGACACAGGGAGGGGTGGTGCTGGGAGGGGCTCTGAGAGAGGCAGGGGCTTGATGGGGTCCCTGGGTCAGGATGGCCTAGGGAGCCTGGAGTTGGGGTATAGGGACCAGGTCACACAGTGTTCTGAATGCCAGGCAAGGAGGCAGGGGTCACTGCAGGTCTGTCCCAGCAGGAAGATCAATATAAATGTGGTCCAAGTGTGGGACTCGGGGAGATACCTGGCCAGCGAGACCACAACACAGGATGAGGCCTCTGTGACCAGCTCAGGGATGAGTGACTGGGAAGAACCATGAAGTGGGGATCACCACGCACAGCAGGGCTTGGTCACTTAGAGCTGAGTGGGACACAATGCTGGTGCCTCGGCAATGGTATTCAATCGGATGAAGCTGGGCACAGTGGCTCATGCCTGTAATCCCAACACTTTGGGAGGCCGAGGTGGGCAGATCACCTGAGGTCAGGAGTTGGAGACCAGCCTGGCCAACATGATGAAACCCCATCTCTACTGCAAATACAAAAATTAGCCAGGCGTGGTGGTGTGCCCGGTAATCCCAGCTACTTGGGAGGCTGAGGCAGGAGAATCTCTTGAATCTGGGAGGTGGAGGTTGTAGTGAGCTGAGTTCTCGCCACTGCACTCCAGCCTGGTCAACGAGAGCCAGCCTCTGTCTCAAAAAACAAAAATAAATAAATAATAAAAAGGGACGAAATCAATGAGCCCTAATAAGAGTGACTACCCCCAACACTCACTCAACCTCGGTGTGACTCCCTCCTCCCCAGGCTCCCTGGAGCTGCAGCTTACACAAGCTGGGGCTGCAGCTGGTGGCCCCTGGTGCTGTCAGGGAAGACAAGCAGGGAGGTGAGGAAGAGGACGGGGCGACCTTTCTCGCCGCCTAGGCTGAGTCCGCTGTCACCTCTTGTCCCCCAGCTCCCAGCCATCCACCAAGCCGAGTCCAGCAGGTGGCATTGGAGTGCTGGGCGACAGGGTGAGCCTGTATATTTGGTGACGCCCACGGGCCGACCCAGCGCCCCCTCCCCTCCCCCGGCTGGGGCAAGGGTGGCCCTAGGTCCTAGCGGGGTGAGGGGCACTGAGCAGGCGGCAGAGGCGGAGGGACACGTGAGATCGGCCGCACACAGCGCTTGCTGAGTGGCGCGTGCGCGCGGCGAGGCGGGGTGACGTGCACGCGCTGTCCGCGGTCCCGTGCAGGCCCCGTGTGCGCGCCCGGCCTTGGACACCAGGCCCGTCTGCCCCGCGCGAGGACAACCCGCGTCCGTCCGCGGGAGGGAGGCCTGAGCGCGCCCCGGAGCGCGCCCCCGAGCTCGCGCGGCGGGGCGCGCCCCTCGCACCTGCGGGCGGGCTGGGGCGGGGCCGCGGCTGTCCCCGCCCACCCCGGCCCGAGCCCCGGGAGCCGGGGCGGAACCGACCAGCGGGGCCCGAGAGGCCGGAGCGCGGCGCGGGGCAGACAATGGGAGCGGCGCTGGCGGCGGCCGGGGCAGCGGCGAGGGCCGTGGAGCCCTGGGCCCCGCGGGGACCGGAGGCCGCGCCATGAGCCCCGCAGCCGGGCGCACCCCTGCGCCGCGCGCGGGCCGAGGCGAGCGGCCTCTGCCAGCCCGGGGCCCCGCCCTGGGGCCGGCGATGAGCCGCAGAGGCTGAGGATGATGGTAGATTGCCAGGTGAGTGCCCGCCGGCCCCGGCCGAGGCTGGGGCCCCGCGTAGCGTCGCGGGTGGAGGAAGGACCGCACGCCCCTGCCCACACCCACCGTGGAGAGGGAGCCCGGCGCCGCGTCCACGCTGAGCGCGCTGACGCAGCTCCGCGTCCAACCCTGCCCGGGCCAGTAGGGAAACTGAGGACAGGAGAGGGGCAGGGACTGGCCCCGGGCACACGAAGTGGGCGGAGTCCAGAGGAGAAGGGAGGGTTCCGGCCTCAGGCCAGGCAGGGCTCGGCTCACCCTTCCCATGGGGTCTGCTTTGGGACTGACAGCCCCTAAGATCCTGGGGACCCCTGCCCTCCTCTCATGTGGGCTCTTTTGCCTGGACATCTCCGCGCACGCACAGGCGCAGGCCTGCGCATACACGCGCACGGACACGCAGACACACACACCATGCACTTCCTGGGGCTCAGAGTAGGACGGGTCGCTGGGGAGGTGGCTATGGGGAAAGAAGAAAGAGGGCTGGGGCTGCTCTGCCGTGGGCAGTGGCATCCGGTCTCCAGCAACATGCTCGGGGCCACGGCACGGGGGCCAGGGGGGACACACGCCAGGCTGATGGGCAGGGGTTCCCCAAGTTTCCCAGGGTCTGTCTGGGCTGGAGCCACCCCAGGGCAGCCTGGAGATGACAGATCGTGGGGTTCTGTTTGCCGCTGTGATCACTTGGAAGTAGGAAAGACCCCTTCAGTGCTGGCGGGGCTGTAGGAAAGGAAGCCTCGGATTCCTGCTCTGTAAATTGGAAAGTTTGGCTGGGTGACCCCAAGGGTCCCACAGGCTCTAGATATGTCGGCCTTAGGTCTCCATTGGGGATGTCCCCTCTACCCACCGAGGTCTGTGGAAAATGCCTTCTTCCTGGAGGTCCTTCTGAGCTAGAGAAGCCTGGGGGGGTGCAGAGCCTGGCCAAGCACTGGACCACTCTTCTGGGACAAGACTGTCCTTGTTGGAGCCTCAGCGTTCTTGTTTGGAAGTGGGGCCAGAGCCTTGCCCTGATTGGAGTGAGGAGGCCTCATGAGTGAACTGGACACCCCAGGGCCAGCAGAGGGAAAGAGGGGAGCAAAGGAAGCTTCTGGGGCTCCCAGAGACTGCAGGTTCCTCTCCTTTGACCCCCCTGGGACCCAGGAGAGACAACACCCAAACAAAGGTGTGTGTTTTGTTTTCTGGGTTTTCTGCCTGAGGCTGTTGTGCTAGTGCCGGCCACCAGGGGGAGGCAGTGCCCACTGTGCTCCATGGAGCAACTGGAGCCGGGGAGAGCCCCGCAAGGTCCCTCTGGGAGACCCCGGCCTCCACCAAACGCACATCCCCTCATTACAAGCATTCCTCTCCACAGTTAGCTGCTCAGAGGCAGGAGGGGGCTCCGAGAGCCTCCTCTTTCCTTTCAGCAGGTGTGCCCAAGCACTCACCCTGGGCGCAGCATTGGGCCTGGGCGTGGCTCTGAAAATGACCCAGGTGGGCCTGCCCTCCGGAGCTGGCAGTCTGGAGGGGGTGATTGACAGGGCATAAAAGCAAACGGGCAAAGGAAGGGAAAAGCAAGTGCTGCAGCGAAAATCATGCTGGTGCTGCCAGCAGGGGCTGGGGCCTGCTTTGTGGGGGCCTGAGAGGCCTTGCTAAGGGGACATCTGTGCTGTGACAGATGTCAAAGCGGGGGCCAGCCCTGCACGAGTCTGGGGCAGTGTACTGGAGAAGCCTCTGCAGGCAGGGCTGGGAGGCAGAATTGAGTTTGGCCAGAGGAGTGAGAAAGGAGGCCAGTGTGGCCCAAGTGAGCTGGGGGCGGGAGGGGCAGCCCCAGGCCTGGAGACAGCTGTGTGACAACACTACCTAACGTACAGCTTCCAGCAGCGGACACTGATCATCACTCGATTTCTGGGGACCCGGTTCCAGGGCAGCTCAGCTGGGTGCCCCTGCCTCCAGGTCTCATGGGAGGCTGGGGTTGGGGTCTCGTCTGTGGCTGGACTGGGCAGGACCTGCCCCCAGACCATTCACATGTCATTGGCAGGATTCAGTTTTGACTGAGGGTGTCAGTTTCTCTGTGACTGTTGGCCCTGGCCTTCCCTTGGTTCACTGCCATGTGGGCCTCTGTGTAGGGAAGGCAGCTCAGGGCATCAGAACTCACTTCCCCAGAGTGAGCGGCGAGGGTGGGAGGGAAACCCAGAGCACACGAGCACGACAGAAGTCACAGTTTTTTGTCAATCTTGGAAGTGACCTCGCATCACTTGTGCTGTATTCTGCTAGTGAGAAGCCCAGTCGCTAAATCTAGTCACCCTTGGAGGGAGGAGATCACTCAGCAACTTCTGTGCCAGGAGGCAGGGATCTCTGGGGCCGGTGTGGAAGTTGCCTGGGACAGTGGCAAGCAGTCAGGCCTGATTCTAAACATAATGGAGCCCGGGCGCAGTGGCTCACACCTGTAATCTCGGCACTTTGGGAGGCCAGGGTGGGTGGATCACTTGAGATCAGGAGTTCGACACCAGCCTGGCCAACATGGTAAAATCTTGTCTCTACCAAAAAAAAAAAAATTAGCTGGGTGTCGTGGCGAGCACCTGTAATCCCAGCTACTCCAGAGGCTGAGGCAGGAGAATCACTTGAACCTGGGAGGCGGAGGTTGCAGTGAGCCAAAATCATGCCACTGCACTCCAGCCTGGGCGACAGAACCAATAAATAAATTAATTAACAAACAAACATATTGGAAGCCACTGAAGGGTGCTCCCATA